GGGGCGCGCGTGCTCCCCAGGGCGCCGCGACGAGCAGGGCGGGGGCCGCGCGCGGGTCCCCAAGGTAGGAAACCGCCGCGCGCCTCGGGGCGCACGGCGGGCAGAAAACCGCACGGCGCCCCGAGCGCACGGCAGGAAGGAGGAGTCGCACGCCACGGGGCGTGCAACAGACAGAGTAGCAGCGGAAGCAGTTGGGTGGGCCCACAGGCCAGGAGCGTAGATGCTCTGATAGCATGTTACGAGAGTAAGCAGAGTGAGGAGCCATAGCTAGGGTTTAGCTAGCTAGGCAAGAGAGAAATGAAGAAAGGAGGGGTTTCACTAGCAGCAGTTGGGATACATATAGCAAACCCTAACAGGGTTGTACTTGCTATAGAGCACCCCACTACAGGCTAGATAATAACATTCTGACACAGGGTCTTGTTTCGCGGAGATTTTATGTTGCTCAGCTATTTTCCCTAGTACAGTCAAATCGTGGGTTGAAGAATTCACACCACGATCCTCCAATTTTTGAATCTGCTCTACTACTGCAGTCCCGAAGCGCTGCACGCGCGGTTTTCAATTTGTTACAATCGATAAGTTGATGTCCCGGCTTACCGTAGAGAGAACACTTAGATTTGTCCTTCTTTGGTCTTTCCTTCGTGTCAATTTGATCGATTTCCATTGGGTCGGCCTACATGGGGGTAGCCAAGTGTCCTCCATGTCGTCTAGCTCGTCCCTGAAGTCGTCGTGTTCTGATCGTGGTCACGTCGAAACGTTCTGCTACCGAAACGACGTCGTTGTAGCTGCTCCAACTTGCGGCCGCAACCTGTTGTCATGTTTTGTTTTTCAGCCCCACGATGAATGCTCTAAGTTTTTCGCCTTCCGTGACGTCGGGGATGCGGTTGAACAACTCCTCCATTTGTTGCGTGTAGTTCGCAACGCTCCCGATTTGTCGATGACGATATATTTTGTCGCGGGCGATTAACGCTGCATTAATCGGCTCAAAACGTTGTAGTAATCCTTCTTGGAACTGTTAGAATCCTAGCTAGAGCTTAGTAGCCATGGCTAGGGTTTAGGTTTTACGAAAGAGAAAAGATAACAGAAGAAGGGGTTTTCACTAGCAGCAGATAGGATACAAATAGGAAACCCTAATTTGGGCTATACTCACTATAGAGTACCCCACTACAAACTAGACAATTATAGCATTCTGACACACCCCCATAGGCAAAGTGGGGTATGATCAGCATAGCAAGCAGTCGCATAAGAATTTCACAATCACAAGCAAAGCTAGAGGCAGTCAAAGAGGGCAAGTGAGGAGGAGGGACTGTGCGAGGAGTGGAGATAGGAGGCGACGAGTGAAGCCGCAGACACACGGACAACAGGAGCGGCGCACAAGGTGGCTACCGGAGCAAGGGCCCCGAACTACAGGAGTAACTCGCTCCGTGGCTAAGACGAGCGGCAGGAGCAACGGACCCACGGGCGACTGGCGCAGCAGGCTCGCTGGGCTACCGGAGCAAGGGCCCCGGACTACTGGTGCTGCTGACGTCACGATGGCTACCTCCGCTCAACCTCCCCCAACTGTCTCACACCCCTTTCACACGCCCCTTGCTGCACCCCTAGCTCCACTCTCACAACACCCCCCTAGTACCACTCCCTCGCCTCCCACACACCCACCCCCCTCAGCGGCAGCTGCAGCAATGGAAGAGAGAGGAGGAGGAGGAGCAAGGGAGGCCTCACACAACCGTCACCCCCATACTCACCACCCCCACACTCGCCACCCGCGGGGAAGATGAAGCCTCGCGGCGCACGGGGGCACGGGGCGGCGCAACGGGAGCACAGGGGGCGCGCGCGGGTCCCTAGGGCGCCGCAACAGGAGCGCAGGGGGCGCGCCCGGGTCCCCAGGGCGGCACGACGGGAAGGCGAGGGCCGCGCGCGGGTACCCAGGGCGACACGACGGGATCGCAGGGGGCGCGCGCGGGTCAGGGCGACACGGCGGTCGACGGGGGGGGGGCGGGGGTCCCCGGGGGCGGCGCAACGGTCGACGGGGAGGGACGCACGGATCCCCGGGGTGACGTGACGGTCGACGGGGAGGGACGCGCGGGTCCCCGGGAGCCGCGCTACGGTCGACAGGGGGGACGTGTGAAGAAACGAGAATGAATGAACTAGCACAAGGTTGGGTACAAGTAGGAAACCCTAGCAAACTGTACCCCATAGTGTCTACCCCACTATAGCCTAGACAAGCTATATGATATAAGTTTGACACAACCCCATAGGCAAAGTGGGGGAGAACAAGGGGTCACAAGACCAGTCAAGCAAACCAAAGCAAGCTCACGGTGGATCACAACGTCACCACACAATCCGAGCACAAGAGCGAGGCCACAAGGCCAGTTCACATGCAAGATCATATATAAAGGTAAACAGGCAAGTGCAGGTATAAAAAGATCACAATACAGGCAAGGTCAAGAATTGAGCAAGTGAGGCCAAGTAGGCACAAGACCTAGCATAGTCTGGAAGCGTTGATGATCACCAGGCGGAAGTGCCTTGGTAAAGATATCAGCAGTGTTGGCCTCAGAGGCCACATAAGCAAGGCACAACTGACCACGCTGCTGCAGCTCACAAGCAAGGAAGTAGCGGAGAGCAATGTGCTTCGTTCTGTGCTCCAGTCTCTGCTCCCGACACAAGGCCAGCATGGCCTTGTTGTCTACGTACAGAACTGGAGGAGAACGAGGCGGCCCTCCTAGGTCAGTCAGCAGGTAGGTGAGCCAGCGTAGCTCCTGTGCAGCCATGGCCCCTGCGTAGATCTCAGCCTCATAGCTGGAGCCAAGAACAGAGGACGAGCGGGTAGACCGCCACGAGACAGAGCCGGAGCCAAGGCTGAAGGTGTAACCCTGTCACGAACGCTGCGTAGCCTGGTCGTCAGCCAAAGAAGCGTCTGCGTAACCTGTGAGGACCACTCGACGTCGCCCTCCAAGCACTAGCCCCATGCCCGACGTACTGCACAAGTAGCGCAACACCCTCTTCGCTGCAGCCATGTGCTCTGGTCGGTGTCTCCCAGGAGCAACATAGCGTGCCAAGATGCTAAGAGGGTATGCAAGGTCAGGTCGTGTGCAGATCATCAGGTACATGAGGCAGCCAACAAGCTCTGGGTACGGGCCACTCGGCTCTACGGACTCATCCGAAGGCAGAGCTGAGAGCGAGTGGCGAGTAGACAGAGGAGTGGCCTAAGGCGAGGAGTACGTGAAGTCGAAGCGCTGAAGGACCTGCTGCACCATGTGTGACTGAGTCAGGGTAATGGTGCGGTGTGCTATGTCCCGGGTGATCTGCAAGCCAACGTAGCTGCACAGTTCACCCAGGTCTGTGCACGTGTATCTCTTCTGCAGCTCGGACTTCACGTGGGCGAGTACACGAGGATGTAGAACGGCGGCAAAGAGGTGTCGGTGCGCAGAAACAGCGACGGGTCAGCAGTAGAAGGAGCAAACCCAAGAGCCGCAAGTGTAGTCCTCAGTGTGTCGTGCCACTCACGGGGCGCCTGGCGGAGACCGTAGACTGGCCGCCGGAGGCTCCACAGGGTACCACGGGGAAACGACCGAGTGAAGCCAGGTGGGCGGCGCAACCAGATCTCCTCGTGCAGGCTGCCCTGCAGGAAAGCTGTGCTGAAGTCAAGAGAGTGAAGCTCGTAGTCGCGCTGAGCGGCTATGTGCAGCAGCACCCGAAGAGTGGTCATCTTCGGGGTGGGAGAGAAGGTCTGAAAGTAGTCAACTCACTGCCGATGTCTGAAGCCTCGAGCCACGTAACGCGCCTTGAAGACAGGCGGAGAACCCGACGGCCGCTTCACCCTGAAAATCCACATGCCACTGACGATGTTCGACCCAGGTGGGGGAACCTCGTCGACGTAGGTGCCTGTGGACTTCCAGGAAGCCATCTCTGCGTCCATGGCTGACTGCCAGTGAGAGTAGTAGGGACCCTCGATCGCCTCAGCGTACGATCGAGGAGTCGGGATGTCTGGTGCATCCGGGTCTCCCTCAGGGGCAATCAGCGTGGACACGAGATGAGGCAAAGCAGCAGCAAAACACTGGAACTCCTCCTGCCTGTCCTCAAGGACGTCTGTGCTAAGAGCACACTCACCCCCGACAGACGGAGGACAGACAGACTCAGACTCAGCAACAAGACTAGTAGCGAAGTCCAGACGACAGCGAGCAGCAAAGTCGACAAGCTCAGCAACAAGGGCCGACGTAGCAGTGGACTTAAAGGAAGGGTCAGTGACAACAGTAGCCAGGAGACGCGTGACAGTAGGACTGGAAGCACGAAGAGAGTCAGACTCCGGGTCAGCAAGAACAGGAAGAGAGGACTCTGGAGGAGACGACAATGGGACACGCAGAGGAGCAGAGGAAGGACGCAGTGCCATCTGGTGTGTGCGTAGGACCGCAGGAGGACGCGGACGCGGAGCACGATGACTAGTGCGAGCAGCACGAACAGGCGAGGTAGGACGAGACGCAGGCTCACGATGCTCAGCAAGACCTCCAGTAGGACCAGTGTAGGGAGAAGGAGCAGGTAGGGGGGAGGCGGGCTGTAACTGTGACTGCGACTGGACAGGCTGTGGACACTCTAAGGGAGGAGCATAACCAGTAGAGGGCGGGAGACCAAGAACCTGCTCAAGGAGCGGAACGAAATACGGCCGCGGCCGCGCAGCGCCTCCAGACCCAGCAGGGACAGCACCAGTACTCCCAGCGGCAGCACCAGCGCCAGTAGCACCTCCACCTCCAACAGCGCCAGCTCCAGCACCCTCAGACGCACCAGCGCCAGCAGAACAACCAAAGCCAACACCCCCAGCACCTCCAACTCCAGCAGCTCCAGCAGCACCAACCCCAGTAGGACCGGTAGCTCCAGTACCGCCAGTAGCTCCAGCAGTACCTCCAGCAGGACCAACTCCAGCAGCCCTAGCAGTACCCCCAGTCCCAGCAGCTCCAGCACTGCCAGTACGAGTACCACCGGGACCAGCAGCAATAGTAGTACCTCCAGCTTCAGCAGCACGGCTCCAGCGCCGGGCAAACCACTCGCGCAGCTCCTGCGGAGAGAGTGGCTCCCGCCTCGACGAAGCACCGCGAGAGGCCACACGAGCAGACCCAGCACCCCCAGGCTCAACACCCCCAGGCTCCGCACCCCCAGGCTCAGCACCCCCAGGCTCAGCACCCCCAGGCACAGCACCCCCAGGCTCCGCACCCCTGGACTCAGCACCCCCAGGCTCCGCACCCTCAGGCTCAGCACCTCCAGACCCGGCACCCGCAGGCACAGCACCTCTAGCAGCACCAGAATCAACAGCTACCTCGAGAGGCTCGATTGCGTCTACCTGGGAGACACCTGACGGGGCAGGACTATGAGGGGGGAGGGGGTCTACCTGGGGAGGACCTGGCGCAAGGAAGAGCGGCGGCGGGGGGAGAGGCGCAGTGCGGTAGGGGAAGAGACGGTAGTAAGGCACCGACTCGTCAAAGGGGACGTCCTGGGAGGACAGAACACGGCGCGAGGTGGGGTGGTAAAACTGCCACCCAGGCGCGTCAGGGGGGAAGCCAAGGAAGACGCAGGGAACAGCACGGGGGGACAGCTTGTCCGCAGACAAGTCGCGGACAAACGCCCGAGATCCCCAGACCCGAAACGCAGACGCATCGCCAACCTTCCCCGTCCACCGCAAGGTGGGGGAGGTCTCTGGCAAGGAGACCCGGGGCTGAAGGTTGAGCTGATGCGCTGCGTACTGAACTGCAAACGGCCACAGAAAATGGGGGGCAGCCGCATGGATCATGGACGTACGAGCGACGTCCATGACAATGCCAATGCGGCGCTCAGCAATCCCATTTTGCTGTGGAGAGGCCGGAAGCGTGAAGGTCTGGCGGATGCCCTGTGCACGACAGAAGGCTCCCAGACGGGCAGAGGAAAACTCCCCACCTCTGTCAAAGTGCAGACGCAGAACAGGAAAGTCCGAGCCCAAACTCTCTCTGAGCTCGAGACGAGCTGCGCGGATCCAGTCGATCAACACCCCAGTGACGTCACCCTTGCTGCGCAAGGGGAACACCATGGTGTGACGTGAATAGTCGTCAACCACCAACATGAAGTAACGCTCGTGACCCTGGCCACGGACGCGGGCCGGGCCCCACACGTCCATGTGAAGAGTCTGCAGCGGAGCCTCTGTCGGAGGAAACTCGGAGGAGTGAGGGGCGGCGCGCTGCCGCCCCTCGATGCAGGGAACGCAGGTAGGGGCAGGCACCAGAGGGAGGAGAGGGAGGGACCGAGGGAGACCAGAGACAAGGACACGGGAGGCCATGCCTCGGAGACGAGGCAGGGAGGGGTGACCAAGGCGGTGGTGCCAAAGGAGAGTGTGGTGGGACAGGAGACCACACGAGCAGGGAGCAAACTCAGGACCAGACCTGGACGCTGCAGCAAACACCTGACTCGACGCAGCTACCTGACCAGACTCAGCAACCGGAGGAGACTCAGTAGTCAGTGTGTACAGGCTCGACCCTGGCCGACGGGTAAACGTGGCCAAGTGTCGGTCCGTCCGAGCACAAGTGCAGTGGGTCACCCGCTGACTCGCAGGAGTGAACTGGTCAACCCCCCCATCCTGTAGATCAGCACCACTCACCAAGTTCGTAGAGAACAAGGGGAGGTAGAGACCTAACAGGGTGCCAGAGGGGGCTGCCGGACACGGTAAGACAGTGGAGAAGCGAGCAAGGACAGGACCCCCAGAGGGGTCCGCCAGGGAGACCGCAACCGGCCGACTAAGCGGCGTAAGCGTGGTGCAGTCTCGAAAGAAGGAGCGGGAAGCACCCGAGTCAAGGGTGAAGGTGTGTAAGGCCTGAGCCGACGTGGTACTTGAGAGAGCAGACTCACCAACACCTGGGGCAGCAGACGCACTAGCACCTAGAGCAGCAGCCTCACCAGCACCTAGAGCAGCAGCCTCAATGCCCGGGTCAGGCGGAACACACAGGTAACAGTCACCCTCATCATTAGTAGACACAGCATACATGGCTGCAAGAAAAGCATCATAATCAAGATCAAAGATAGCAACCCCTGCCCTAGACAGCTCTCCCCAGCGAGGGATCTCAGTGGCGTCAGGGAACTGGTGACGCCACGCGTCCGTCAGGCGGCCGAAGTAGCGCTGGGTGGAGTGCGGGCCCCCGCACTGCTCACCAGCGCGGTCGCCGGTACGGAGGACGTAGGTGCAGGGACCAGTACCCCCACCTCGCTGACGCCCAGCGTACCACTCACGAAGCTGCTAGGGGGACGGGGTCTCACGACTGCGCTGCTGCTGCTGGCGCGGACCACCACCGGAACCACTCCTCTGCGCAAAGCCGCGACCAGCTCCACCGCCGCCGCCGCCGCCGCCGCCTCCGCCACCTCCGTCGCCTCCGCCACCTCCACCGCCTCTGCTCCCTCCGCCACCGCCGCTGCCTCCTCCGCCTCCACTGCTGCCACCGACACCTCCACCCCCGCCACCACTCCCACCACCACCCCCACCCCCTCCACTGCCTCCACCACCACCTCCACCCCCCCTGCCAGCCCCTCCAGCGCCCTTGCCCCCCTTGCCCTTGCCAATGCGGCGTCACCCGCTAGGGGCAGACGCAGCGCCGACCGACTCGAAGCCAACGAGGCCGGCCGCAGCAGCAGAAGCAACAGAGGGCAAGAGTGGGGAGGGGGAACACCCCTCAAAGATTGGGGTGCGAGGGTCACCACGAGAGGCTCCTACAGCGACTATGCTCTTATCTGCTGCTAGGAGGCGCTCCTCGAGGAGGTCAACGGTGAGTGTGGTGGGGCAAACTGAGAGGAAGTGGTCCCTGACTAGGGGAAGGGAGTCAGGGAGCTGGGTGACTATGTAGTAGAGTGTGATGTACATGGGGGGGGGGGGTTCTTGGCACAGAACTCAGTAGAAGCGCAGCGCGGTAGCGAGTGTCACTAGTGCAAAGGTGTGTAATAAGGTCAGCGACTGTGGGAAAGGCAGCAAGGTTAGGGAAGAGGTACGGTAGCATGAGGCGGCTAAGAGCAGCAGTGGCAGGGGAAGAGTAGCGCGCAACTACAGCGTTGTACAAGGTCTTAGCACTCTTGTACTGACTAAAGTGCGCACGCTCAGTGGTCGGTAAGTGGCGACACACAGCAAGACGGGCAGCAGCATCGCGTGTGGCCCACTGTGAGCAAACAGTGCTATCAGCATCAGTAGGCGGGGCAGGAGAGGCACCAGAGGTGAGATCGAACAGGGAGAGTCCGTCTGCCCTATCGCACTGTAGGAACAGCTGGAGGTCATCGACCCAGACCTCAAAGTCAACAGCACGACCCTCAGCATCAGGACACCGTGGGTAGCCTTTACAGCAGTGGTCTAGCAGGGAGTGATCTCACCAGTCCGAGTGAGTAAGGCCGGGGCGCGCCGGTAGGAACAGGGCTGTAACCGCGGTGGCAGCGGCTCGGCAGCGACAGTAGCGGCTCGACGGCAGGGTGGCTCGGCGGCTCGGCTGCTAGGCGGCTCGGCGGATCGGCTGCTAGGCGGCTCGGCGGCTCGGCGGCTTGGCTGCTGGGCGGCTCGGCGGCTCGGCTGCTGGGCGGCTCGGCGGCTCGGCGGCTCGGCTGCTGGGCAGCTCGGCGCCTCGGCTGATGGGCAGCTCGGCGGCTCGGCTGCTGGGTGGCTCGGCTGCTCGGCTGCTGGGCGGCTCAGCAGCGACGGGGCCGGTAGAGGCGGCGACGGGGCCGCGAAGGGCGGCGACGGGGCCGCTAGAGGCGGCGACGGGGCCGCGAAGAGCGGCGACGGGGCCGCTAGGGGCGGCGACGGGGCCGCGAAGGGCGGCGACGTGGCCGCGTGGGGCGGCGACGGGGCCGCGAAGGGGCCGCAAGGGGCCTAGAGGGGCGGCGACGGGGCCGCGAATGGGCCGTCAGGGGCCTAGAGGGGCGGCGACGGGGCCTAGAGGGGCGGCGACGGGGCCGCGAAGGGGCCATGAGGGGCCTAGAGGGGCGGCGACGGGGCCGCAAAGGACGGCGACGGGGCCGTAAGGGGTGGCGACGGGGCCGCTAAGGGTGGCGCGAGGGGCCTCTAGGAGGGCGCGACGTGAGGGCGGCCTACGGGGCGCGCCTCGGGCAGGGAAAAAAAAAGGTCGAGTTCAGTGGTGGGCCCTGAGAAGCGTTCCCACGAGGGAACCTGCTCTATACCATGTGAAGAATGAGGAATGAATCAACTAGGAAAGGGGTGGGTACAGGTAGGAAAACCTAGTAATGTTGTACCCCATATTGTCTACCCCACTACAGCCTACACAGACTATAGCATATAAGTTTGACATCGCCAACTTGAAGATTCGGTGCTCGAAATTGCGATGCTCACGGCGGAACGTGACTCCGCGCGTCATCAATCAACGGTGAACACTCCTTCGCCACCATGTCAGAGGTCCACTGGTGATTCCCGATTGATCCTAGGGAAGGGTTATAGGCATGCAGGCTTGGGAGGTTATGGGCGCACTGACCCGCTACTTAACAAGCCCTTTTATCCCAATGGTCTAGTGGTTGGGATTCTGACATGGTATCAGAGCAAAGGTCTCGGGTTTGAATCCTAGTGTGTGCATTTCGGGCATCCCAGTGCCGGGGGGTGTCAGAGGTCCACTGGTGATCCCCGATTGATCCTAGGGAAGGGTTACATGCATGTTGGCCTGGGGGGTTATGGGCGCACTGACCCTCTACTTAACAAGCCCTATTATCCCAATGGTCTAGTGGTTGGGATTCTGACACACCACACGCACCGACAAATGCATCTGCACAATCGGACGAGCCGATCGTCATTTTGTCCGGCACACCAACACAAAACAACAGCGTGGGACAGCGCTCAGGCGCAGCCAGTGATGGCACCGCCCAGCCGATGCCTGGCATGGGAGGAAACAGGGTCGCAACAAGCCCGCGGGAGCCTTGCGAAGCCCGTCGGCACGTGGAGTTTGCGGCGACAAGTGGCGAACAGGCCATTATGGCACCAATGCCACTCAAGCCGCATCACCCGCGCTTCTTCGACCCGAGCCAGCGTGGAGGTCCGACGATTCAATCGGGGGTCTTCACGATGAACGTCTTCTTCGACGAGAATTACGTCGAGTCGGACGCAGCGAAGATTCGGTATGCTGTTTCGCTGCTAAGGGGCCCCACCATGGACTCGTGGCGAGTCATCGTGATGTCGCCACGCGCCTACGAGCCACCGTCGCAAGAGGAAGGGCCCACGGGTCCAGCTGTCACCTGGAGTTCATTCTGCGAGACCGCCCAATACAGCACGTGGGATGCGTGGTGCGCAGGGCTTTAGGCGCGCTTCGAGCCGATCGCGGCTTCTATTTCAGCGCGTCAGAGATTGCGCACTTGGGTTCCAAGTGCGAGTTCTTCCATGATAGGTTAGAATTTTTAGGGCACGTTATTTCGGAGGCTGGAGTTGAAATCGACCCAAAGAAGCAGGATACAGTAAAAGTGTGGCATCCCCCGACGAACATCACGGAGCTGCAGAGCTTTTTAGGGTTCGTTAATTATGTGCGTCGCTTGGTCCCCGATATGGCACGGTTTACTGCCCCGCTGACGGATTTACTGAGGAAGGGGGTTGCTTTTACGTGGGGGGAGAAAGAGCATGCTGTCAGAATCAGAAACAGGAATGGTGTGACTAGCAGGAACAACAGTACAAATATGAAACCCTAAACTGGTGTACCCCCTATGGTGTGACCCACTACAGCCTAGAACCACACAAACATATAATGTTTGACACACCCCCATAGGCAAAGTGGGGGAGACCTAGGGGTCACAAGACCAGTCAAGGCAAAGCAAGGCAAACAAGCTCAGGGTGGATCTCGAGGATTCCACACAAATTCCGAGCACAAGTAAGCGGTCACAAGACCAGTTCACATGCAGTTTTATAATAGAGCAAGAGGTACAATGATCACAACCTAGCAAGGGCAAACATGCAGGTATATATATAATGATCACAGTACAGGCAAAGTCAAGAAGTAAGCAAATGAGGAACAGTCGGCACAAGGCCTAGAAGAGTGCAAAAACGATGATGGTCAACAGGCGAAAGCGCCTTGGTGAACACATCAGCAGTGTTGGCCTCAGTGGCCACGTAACGCAGAAGAAGCTGACCACGCTGCTGTAGCTCTCGAGCTAGAAAGTAACGCAGAGCAATGTGCTTCGTCCTGTGCTCCAGTCTGTGCTCCTGACACAAGGCTATGGTTGCCTTGTTGTCGACATACAGCGCTGGAGGAGAACGAGGCTGCTCTCCAAGGTCAGTCAGCAGGTAGGTGAGCCAGCGAAGCTCCTGGGCAGCCATGGCCGTGGCGTAGATCTCAGCCTCACAGCTGGAGCTGAGAACAGAAGAAGAACGAGTAGAACGCCAAGAGACAGAGCCAGAGCCAAGACTGAAGGTGTAACCCTGAGACGACCGCTGAGTAGCCTGGTCGTCTACCCAAGAAGCGTCTGAGTGCCCAGTGAGAACAAGCCGGTCTCGCCCTCCAAGCACTAGCCCCATGCCCGACGTACTGCACAAGTAGCGCAACACCCTCTTAGCTGCATCCATGTGCTCCTTCCGGTGACGGCCGGGAGCGACATAGCGTGCTAAGATGCTGAGAGGGTATGCAAGGTCAGGTCGAGTGCAGGTCATCAGGTACATGAGGCAGCCCACCAGCTCTGGATACGGACCACTCGGCTCTACGGACTCATCCGAAGGCAGAGCTGAGAGCGAGTGTCCCGTAGGCAGAGGAGTGGACTGAGGCGAGGAGTACGTGAAGCCGAAGTGCTGAAGGACCTGCTGCACCATGTGTGACTGAGTCAAGGTGATGGTGCGCCGTGCTCTGTCCCGGGTGATCCGCAAGCCAAGATAGCTTGTCAGTTCACCCAGGTCTGTGCACGTGTGTCTCTTCTGCAGCTCGGACTTCACGTGAGCGAGACCAGCTGTGTCAGAAGTGGCAAAGACCAAGTCGTCGACGTACACGAGGATGTAGAACGGCGGCAGTGAGGTGTCAGTGCGTAGAAACAGCGACGGGTCAGCAGTAGAAGGAGCGAGCCCAAGAGCTGCAAGTGTAGTCCTCAGTGTGTCGTGCCACTCACGTGGCGCCTGGCGGAGACCGTAGACTGGCCGCCGGAGGCTCCACTGGGTACCAGGAGGGAACGACCCAGTGAAGCCAGGTGGGCGGCGCAGCCAGATCTCCTCGTGCAGGCTGCCCTGCAAGAAAGCTGTGCTGAAGTCAAGAGAGTGGAGCTCGTAGTCACGCTGAGCGGCGACGTGTAGCAGAACCCGAAGAGTGGTCATCTTCGGGGTCGGGGAGAAGGTCTGGAAGAAGTCAACTCCCTCTCGCTGACTGAAGCCTCGTGCAACGTAACGCGCCTTGAAGACAGGCGGAGAGCCCGGCGGCCGCTTCACCCTGAAAATCCACATGCCACTGACGATGTTCGCCCCAGGTGGGGGAACCTCGTCGACATAGGTGCCAGTGGACTTCCAGGAAGCCATCTCTGTGTCCATGGCTGGCTGCCACTGAGAGGAGTAGGGACCGGCCATCGCCTCTGCGTAAGAGCGTGGGGTCGGGATGTCTGGTGCATCCGGGTCTCCCTCAGGGGCAACAAGCATGGACACGAGATGGGGCAAAGCGGCAGCAAAGCACTCAAACTCCTCCTGCCTGTCCTCAAGGACGTCAGTGCCAAGAGCACACTCACCCCCGACGGACGGAGGACAGACAGACTCAGACTCAGCAACTAGGCTAGCAGCGTAGTCTAGACGACAGCGAGCAGCAAAGTCGACAAGCTCAGCAACTAAGGCGGACGCAGCAGCAGACTCAAAGGAAGGGTCAGTGACAACAGTAGCCAGGAGACGCGTGAAAGTAGGACTGGCAGTACGAAGAGAGTCTGACT